TTAAATAAGTATATGAGCAGAATTAAGTGGTAACAATACGAGAGTTTGTAAACCTGAATATTTCAGGAAGTATTATAATAGACCTTGTTAAGAATGGTTACTAAGATGCGTCTCAAGAGTCACTTTAACAAAAGAACTCCTTTACTCTGCCATCCTAGTAACAACAATTATGCACATGCTTTATGAAATGAAAAACAATTTTTTTTTTATCAACTACTACCCTCTCCCCCCAACCAAAACGAGACATTGTCCTCAATGTTCTAAGGTAGAAAGATAGAGTATAGAAGATATCACCTGAAATAACGAACACTGACAAACCTGAAACACACTGAAACAAATATAAGAAACAACAAAACACAATAATAAAACCAAGCATGTGTATGTACAGGTAGTTGTGATTGTGGCTCACATCTTCCCTTGGTTTTACGTCCAAGAACGGCTTAAACGCCCTCTATGGGTCGGGGATAGGCTTCCCATCCAGTTTTCTTAAAAACTGGCAAACAGGGTCTTTTTTAGTCAGATTCCCAAGACTAAGTCTATCATGTTCTTTATGAAATAGTGGCCATAAATCATGAATTGCACGATGCACATCTCCACTAGGATGCGTCTCAAGAGTCAATAGAAGATTATCTAAAGACTCCTTACTCAGGCCATCCTTAATGAATTGTATTTTATCTTCACGGTTTATAGATACCATTCCTAAAGAACGACATTGTGTATTACAAGTCCATCTAGCACATCGATGACAGACATCCAGTCGTTTTGCACGACGCTTCTTTGCAAAAGTGCTTTTACCTGTTCCAGGCATGTGTGAAATGAAGTTAGAGGACTCACCTGATAATCGGACCTTTGCTTCAATCAACCAACGAATATCTTCAGGAATTCCATGATTCATTAATAATCTCAATCTTGCACATCTAGCACGGTAAATTTTTGTAATCGCATTCTGAGGCAGAGCGGGAAAATACTTTTTCAATTTTTCAAGATTAGTGTCCATTTTCAAATGAGAATTGGAAGAGAGATTCAAAGAATTGCACAGATATATACACAGATATCAGTAATTGTGGGAAACTGAAAGAACCGACTTAAGTCACGGAGTACCGTTATCCGCCATTTGACCGGGGTGAGAGAAACTAGCAAAAATCACTCAAAAAGAAACACAAAAACAATGTGAGAAAAAAAATAATCAACCTTTATCTACAAAATCATTCAAACCAGTTGATTCGTTTTCATTAAGAAAATTATCAAAGTGAGCTTTCAAACGATGTCCATTTTCCTTAAAATCATTGTCATTCATTGAATTCTCAATATCACAGGCCCCATAAGGATTGCTCCATCTTGGTCTTAGCTCTCTAGGGACTGCATAGAGTTGAGAATTATAAAACAAAACTTTTTGACCAGTATCAATCTTTTGACAATTTTCACAAGTTTTGCAGAATGCATGTGTGTCCTTGAACATGGTGGGCCAATAAAATCCATTTTGAAAGATTTTTGCAGCAGTCTTTTTTGACGAGAAATAACTTCCACATGCTTCAGAATGACAAAGTTTAATGACACTACTTACCTCATTGTCGGGAATGAATCTTTGAAATATTTGATCAGGACAATATTTGAATAAGTTAGGGTCATCACAATAAAAGCTCTTCACTTCGTTCAAAAACTTTTCTTTGTCTTGGGTACTCCAATCAGCTGGCAAATCTCCTAAAGCAAGAAAATTGATATTTTTATCATACCAAGGCATTGAACTAAGAGAAAGTAAGGATTTGTTAGGAAAGTAATCATCGATTGGTGTGATGTCAGATGTCGAATCTGTTGTCACTGTTGACAAAAGATTTGCATCAACATTTTTGGTGCTTGTTTCATCCGTGATTTCTTCCTCAGAATAAATCATTTGCAAATCTTCAGTTTCATCCAATTCATTTTTACTTAAAGTAGATTCAAGTTGATCATAAACTAATTCATCAATATGATCTACTTCTTGTAAATCATTATCATCTCCAGGTTGCTTGCAAATGTTGAAAATATTCATCTCCAATGTCATGTTTCCAAATGATAGCTTCATCAGTCCATTCCTACAATTAATCAATGCATTAGAAGTTGCAAGAAATGGACGTCCTAAAATAACAGGAAATGAATTACATGCTTCAACAGGTTCTGTGTCCAAGACAATAAAATCCACAGGATAAATGAATTTATCGACTTGTACTAACACATCTTCAATTATTCCTCTAGGCACTTTTACAGATCTATCGGCAAGTAAAAGAGATATAGAAGTTGGTTTTAACTCACCTAGATTGAGACTTTGAAAAACTGAATATGGAAGTAAATTCACACTAGCTCCAAGATCAAGTAAGGCTCTTTCAATTTTATGCTCTCCAATAAAGCAGGAAATTGTAGGACAACCAGGGTCTTTATATTTCAAAGCATTATTGTTTTGAAGAATAGCACTTACTTGTTCGGCTAGAAAGGCTTTCTTTTTCACATTCAGTTTCCTCTTCACAGTGCATAGATCTTTCAAAAATTTAGCATAGGAAGGAACCTGTTTAATAGCATCCAGCAAAGGTATATTGATCCTTACCTGTTTGAAAATTTCATAAATTTCAGAATTGTGATTGACTTTCCTTTGTTTGGTCATGGCTTGAGGAAATGGAAGTGCTGGTGGTGAATCAGTCGTTTTTTTGCAATTTTCAGATTCATCCCCTTCCTTACCCTCAGAGATTGATTCATCATCTTTCTCATAAGGTTCAAGAGAGGGTTTTTCAATAACCTTACCACTGCGCAGAGTAGTGACTGATTTGACTTGATCCATGTGTTGGCTTCTGGAACTACTTGCATTTGCATTGTATTGCCCCTTGGGATTTTGTTGTGGTTGAGATGGAAACTTACCTTTCTCTTGGAAATTGAGAGCAGATGTTAATTTTGCAAGAGTATCTTTAAAATCTGTTATGTTTTGAGCAAGTTGAGTATTGATTGTCTCTTGCTTTTCAATGAATGCATGCAATGTTTCCTCAAGATTTCTTCTAGGAGGTGGAGCATAAGGAGGTGCATATCCATAAGAACTTTGGAAATTATGGTGTGCTTAAAATGGTGGTTGTGAAGTTTGTGAATTGGTGTTCTCACTCTTCCAACTAAAATTTGGATGATTTCTCCAACCAGAGTTGTATGTTTGGGAGTATGGGTTGTGGTTGGGCCTTTGGAGACTGTTTAAAGCATGGGCACAATCATGGAGACATTCCTTAAAAGAAGGCAAGGTTGGACGATCATTGGTGGCTTGTAGCGGGTCTAGGGGATGGTGGCTGGAATCGGGTCATCATCGGGATATCGAAGGGACAAGCAACGGGCCGCGGGGAGACACGGAGGATCTCAAAGGGAAAAGCAACAGGCTGTGGGGGGACACGGCAGGGACGATCATGCGGGGGGTCGTATGCCTCAGCTCAGAAGATGGAGGATAGGCCTCGGCAGCGGGCACGTCACGCCACGAGGTCAGGGATGACGAGGAGAGCCAACACATGGGTGCGCGCACGGCAATTTAATGCCATGCCCACGCCAGTGTAGAGCCCTCCTCCCCATCCTTGAGCTCAACGGTTCGCACCGGCCACGTCGGCAAGGCCTCCAACTTGCGAGCATGGGCAGCGGCCATTACCGCCGTGACGTCGTCGCAAGTAGACGGGTGCGCAGCAGCTGCCAGCACCTTGGCATGAGCACGGAAAATGAATGCCACATCCACACTGTAGATAAGCAGCCCCAACATCCCCAAGGGCTTTGAGCGAGTCCCGGGAACAGTGGCTGGAATGAGGTTGTCACCGGCCGGAAAACGGGTCATCACCTTAGTCCGAGTGTAGTAGCAGCCCACAAATCCCCCGCGGCAGGCCTATGGGAGCCAGGCCAGCGTGCCCCATGGCCAGTCAGGGGGCACCCCCCAAAAAAGCTATAAGTGTTATTGCAGCTCTGGCAGGGGGAGACACTACTATCCCTCCAAAACATTCATTGCTTGGTAGTTTGAGCTGAAATTTTGCACAGAGGTTGGAAAAAATCCAATCCAAATTTATTACTTTTTCTAGAATTTTTCAAGCTCGGGAAGTATTTTTTTTTAATTTCCCGACCATTAAAAATCAAGGAAATCCGCAAAAATAGGAACCAGCCCGGAATGACACCAAATTCGATGGGAAGCCTCCAAAAAATATGGCTGATTTTACTGGATTAATTTCATGTGGAAAGCACAACCCATGACTTGCCAAGTTCGGACTGGTGACTTGCCCAAGCCATTGTGCGCTGCCGAACTCGCATCTGCGTGGAGGCTGCAGTTGTCCGCGGTAAACCCTGTTTTCGTCAGCTTGCCACCTTGATCAATTTTCCCACCTGGCCTGGCTGGCACGCATCCAGCCCATGTTCGTCAAACAATCTGTGCTGTCGATTTTTCTCGACATGCCTGCAGCTGCACAAATCTACGCTGCCGATTTTTCCACCTGGTGGCATGGCTGCCACCACCCCAGTTTCTGGACCAGCCCTCTTCTTCATCAAGCATTGGCTTGTCCAAACTCGCCGTCCGCAACCTATTCTGTTGACTTGGCCAATTTCGGCGGCGCTGCCGATTTTTCCCGACATGCCTCCAGCTGCATAAATCTACGCTGCCGATTCTTCCAATCGGTGGCATGGCTGCCACCACCCCAGTTTCTAGACCTACCCTCTTTTTCATCAAGTCTTGGCTATCCAGACTCGCCATCTGCAGCCCATTTTGTCGACTTGGCCGATTTCATCGGCGTTGTTGATTTTTCCCGACATACCTGCAGCTGCACAAATCTGTGCTGCCGATTCTTCCAATCGGCGGCATGGCTGCCACCGCCCCAGTTCCTGGACCAGCCCTCTTTTTCATCAAGCCTTGTCTGTCCAAATTCGTCGTTCGTAGCCCATTCTGTCAACTTGGCCGATTTCGTCGGTGCTACCGATTCCAACATCGCCCCCGTGTTTGGACCAGCAGTCTTTCGTCAGCATGTCCCCCGATGACTTTAACAGCAATGATTCACATCAGCCCACCAAGCCCACCAGCCGACGCTACCGAAGCAAACTCTACTGCCAAATCTACCCACACTATCCCACGGGCTGTTGCTGCCGAAGCACCTGCAGCCGATTCTCTCAGCCTTGCCGATTTTGTCGGCGCTGCCGCTTCCAACACTGCGCCTACCGTGTCTAACCAGCATTGCCCCCTTGACAAATTTTCCCGCCTGGCCTGGTCGGCCTGGTGTCCAGCCCATGTTCGTCAAACAATCTGCACTGCCGATTTCTCCCGACATGCCTCCAGTTGCTCAAATCTACACTACCGATTTTTCCAACCGGTGGCATGGCTGCCACCGCCCCAGTTTCTGGACCAGCCCTCTTTTTCATCAAGCCTTGGCTGTCTAGACTCGTCGTCCGCAGCCCATTCTGTCGACTTGGTCGATTTCGTCGGCGCTGCCGAGTTTTACCGACATGCCTGCAGCGGCACAAATCTGCGCTGCTGATTAGTACTTAAAAGTGTATTTTTATCAAGGTTTTATATCATCATTTTGCACTCGAAGTATTAATTTGTGGTAAATGTCTATTTTTAATGCAGGTCTATCACATAAATGAAAGGATTGATTGATGACTTGAAGAACTTAAATTGCATGGATAAAGAGATGGTCAAACTTAGAGAAGAGATGTCGGTGCAATCCAAACTGGAACACTGTTCGGTAATTGGGTCATATCTAGAGCTATATATCTCAGATTTAGGTCCAATTTATATGGATGGAAAGGTAAGACATAGGCCTACAACTTTCATATGGAGCCCAAGATCTAAAAAGGCCATTATCAAGTCCAAATTGTAGCAACAACAAAGAAGCCCGAATCTGTCTTCCAGCCCGAGCACTGTTCGGTATTTTGGCCATATCTGGAGTTCTAGAAGTCCAAATGAGCTGAAGTTTTTACACAAGAAAGCTGAGACAATTGCCTACAACTTTCATGTTTGCAACTGGCTCCAATTTTGACGTTATCAATGACGTTTTGGGCAGACAAGAGAAGATAAGGATTGTCACCAAGTCAAAAGTTGGCCACCTACTTATCAATTAGTCATCAAATCAATAGTTCCCAATTTTGGCCTATAAAAGGAGGCATTTTCCATGCATTTAGGCATCTTGGTTTCCAGATCAAGATCATGCTCTTTCTTTCTCTCTTTGTATTTTTTGTAATGTTTATGCTTTGCTTTCATTAATATTAAGTTTATGCCTTTCATTTCCTTTCCTTTACTTAGTTAACTTTTATCTTCTTATTTTGTTTATTTATTTTTCTTTCTTTTATTATGTTTAGCTAAGTTTGTTATGTCAAGGTGAAAAGGTTACACTAATGGTGTAAGAATAAGTATAGTGTAAACTTAATATGGACTTTAATGTTTGATACTAACATGTTTTTGTATTTGTTATTTTGTTCACTCTTTAATACTTTGCTTGTTAAATGACTAATCTTGATTTATGTTGTATAAGACTTGGTACAACAAATGCTTGGCACTTTCATAGCCCATAATGTATGGTATAACCAACACCTGAGCTATGAAAGGAACTTGATTTGTTGTTAACATAAGTTATAATCATGAATGCTTGACGAGATTTACAAGTATTAGCATTAATTGAATAAGATGACTAATGTAATCATGTTAACAATCTATAATCCGATTGGAACCTCCTTTGTGTGTGGTTTCCAATTGAACAATAAGAGTTTATACTATACTTGTTTGACATACCATTAGTGGAACCTCTAACCTTGACATTTGTTATTATCATTGTTTAATCCTTGCATTGATATTCCATCTCAATGTTCTCATCTTCTTTTTCTTCTTCTCCATCTCTTTCTTTATTACTACTACTACTACTACTACTACTACTATTTCTATTAGTATTGTTGTTGTTTATAATTATCGTTTATAATTTGTACAATTAACCTGCCTATGGTTCGATCCCGGTCTTGCCGGGTTATTTATTACTTCGACACTCCTACACTTGGGAGAAGACATCAATCTTTAGTTGTGTCAAGTTTTTGGCACCGTCGCCGGGAGGTAAGTTTTGTATAAATTATAATATTTATTTTATTTTCTCTTTTCACTTTGCTTGTATATAACTTTGTTTCTTTTCTTTTGTTTCTTCTTTTTTTGTTTTTTTTTTCCTTTTATTCTATTCCTACACGTGCATAAGAGTGTGGTCATGTACATCAAGTGGTAGACTTTGTAGGGTATCCTCATCATTTTTAAAAAATATAGTCGAAGAAGATAATCAATCACTTCATAATGAGAATAATGAGAATAATCGTGCTAGAACACTTAGAGACCACATGAATCCCACAAGAACAAGTGCACCATTATGCATAGTTTTTCCTCCCGATGCATCTCATCTCATTTTAATTTTAAATCAGGCAGTATTCAACTTTTACCTTTTTTTTCATGGCTTACAATTGGAAAATCCATACTTTCAAGAGACAAATCACCACTTTCACTCAAAAACCAGGAGAAACATTTTACCAATGTTGAGATAGGTATCGAGACTTACTTAGTACTTGCCCTCATCATGGTTTTGAAACATGGAGATTGGTTTCATATTTCTATGAAGGGTTAACACCTAGAGATAGGAAAATGGCTGAATTGATGTGCAATGGAACTTTTGAAGATAAAGATCTTGATGAAGCAATGGAGTACTTAGACTTGTTAGCTGAAAATGCTCAAAATTGGGACACCGAGGTTACTTATGAGGCACCGAGTAAAACTCAATCTCATACATTTAGTGGAGTTATGTACAACCTTAGAGAAGATCATGACCTTCAAGCCAAGTTTGCATCTTTAGCTAGAAAAGTCGAGGCACTAGAATTGAAAAGGAGTGGTCAATTAAAATATGTTGAAAACATTGTGTGTCAAATATGTGAAACAAATGAACACTCAATCAATAATTGTCCAACCTTGCCTTCTTTTAAGGAATATCTCCATGAACAAGCCCATGCTTTAAACAGTTTCCAAAGGGCTAACCACAACCCATACTCACAAACATACATCCTTGTTTGGATAAGTCACCTAAATTTCAGTTGGAAGAGTGATAACAACAATGCACAAACTTCACAACCACCATTTCAAGCACACCACAATTTCCAAAATTCTCATGGATATGCACCTCCTTATGCTCCACCTCCTAGAAGAAATCTTGAGGAAACATTGCATGCATTCATTGAACAGCAAGAGACAATCAATACCCAACTTGCTCAAAACATGACAGATTTTAAAGATACTCTTGCAAAATTGACATCTGCTCTTAGTTTCCAAGAGAAAGGTAAGTTTTCATCTCAACCACAACAAAATCCCAAAGGGCAATACAATGCAAATGGAAGTAGTTCCGGAAGCCAACACATGGATCAAGTCAAATCAGTCATTACTCTTTGCAATGGTAAGGTTATTGAAAAACCCACTCTTGAACCTTGTGAGAAGGATGATGAGTCAATCTCTAAGGGTAAGTGCTTGACCGCTTTTTATGATCGGCTTGTTTTAACTCACAAGTGCACAAGTGTGCGATGTAGCAATTAACTCGGTAAGATCGAGGTCATATCCATAGAGAGCTAGATCTAGAAAATAAGCTAGGTAACAAAAAAAAACTCAAGAGAAATTAAATTAACAATAACTTGGTTGAAAATAATTGATGGATTTATTTTTAAAGATAAAAAAAAATGTAAATAGATTTTAAATGACAAGAAAAAGTAAGTTTTAGTCCAAATCAATTTTAATGGTGATGTATTGGTGATTTCTTCAACATATATAAGATAACTCAACCTAATATCAACGATGGTGATATTAGATCAGAAGATATTACAATGAAGATTAGAAAGATGAAGATTGATTATTGCTTAAGAATGAACAAGTACTTTCATATTAAGTAAGACATTGAATCAAGCAATCTCTATACCAAAACTAGTACTTTCATATTAAGTAAGACACTGAATCAAGCAATCTCTATACCAAAACTAAAGTTTGTGCATAAAAATTCAAGATTATAACATTACCTAAATGATTTCTAAAATTTCTTTACAATAATAAATCATTCATGAAGAAAATAAGAAGATAAACATTAAGATTCATTCATATCCTAAAGAACTCACCTCAATCACCATTATCCTTGATTTGGATCCAAGAAAGAGTTTAGCCAACCATGATTATATATAAGAACACTTCAATAAACATGAAAGAACTTGAATCCAACTGAAATAATAAGTTTTACAAACTAAAGAACCGAAATCTATAAAGAAGAACACAATACAATTTCAGAAAAAATTCGGACACAAATCTGACTCTAACTTTGGACAGCAATTCGACCCTCTTAGAAGCTTTTTTTCGAGATGTCTATTAGAGACATATTTATAGGCAATTATGTCACCTTTCTAGATCATTAAAGAACAGCTCATTTGGACACATGAGTCAAAAGTTATGGGCAAAACACCGAAAGGTGTTCTGAAAAATCAAATCAAGATAGCTTTACAACCACTTTGGTGCATGTTTTTTTTCCTCATTTATGAGCTATCTCTTTCTTCTTTTTGACCCAAAATAATGTAAAAATGTCCCCTCCAGCTTTCCATCCATGTGCTTGCCTTCTTGGATCAATGGATTACCCAAAATAAATCAATTGTTGTTGTGTGGACATGTAAGATCATGGATTGTGTTTGGGCTGATTTGAAGGTTGATTTGGGGCTGATTTGGGGCTGAATTTAAGCATCAAATAAGTATACAAATATACCTATTATTTGGGCTAAGATTGACATTGAAACCTTAAGTGTTTAATGGTTGAAGTTTGCACACAACATAAGGCAAGTTTGGGCTTAAAATAGATCATATGATATTCTTTTCTAGAATTGGAATAGAATTGATTTTTGGGACAAATTTGGAGCACTTATTTGCACCAAGATTTGCTTCAATCTTCAACTAAATGTCTCTTCAATTCTTTGTTCTGAATTCCGACGTTGAATTTCCTGAATTAATTCATTTAAGCTCCAAAAACCTATCAAAACATTAAAACAAACTTCATTATTGAAAAGCACATCAATTATTATAAAAAAAACCAAATAAAAACAATAAATACATATGTAAAATAAGAGACTTAATGACACTTTTGATGCACAATCAGTAAGCAAAGGGGTTGAATCTAAAAATTGCAAAGAAACGACTGATTCCCTGCCAGTACTTCCATTTCCTCAAGTCATGACCAAACAAAGGAAAGTC